TCTGTCTGCGCCTGAACTAATCTGTCTATCTCCTTGTCGTACCTTCCGACTTGGTAAAGCACGCAAATATCAAAAGACAAAGGCTGGACTGTGACTGTGTATTGAGGTGCAACAACGATAAAGAAAGCCATGGTATTTATACATTTTACAACAATATGGACAGCTAACAGCATTTGAAATAATTGACCTTAATAGCCAATAACAAAGTGTGTGAGAAATGATAATATGCCATATGTGCGACATTGACAGTAAGTAACAAAATGCGTGAGAATGATAATATACAAAATTAACAGTCACTACCAAAATGCGTGAGAATGATAATATACAAAATTAGCAGTCAATACCAAAATATGTGGGATCCTATCACCTCCCCCCATAAAGAGTGTAGGACTTGCTTTTTGGATCTATTTGAAAAGGTTTCGGAGCTCTTCTTTGTCGAGTTGACCTTTGCGTGGTACTGGATAGAGCGTGATCTGTGTGTCTGCCACATAACTGTCCTTTTTCATTCGTACGATAATGCAGCAAGAATTTATCCAAAATTTGTTTCTGTTGTTCCCTCCCCCTTCGCTTTTGCATAAGCACGCTTAAAGGTGTCGACGAAACGTTCAGTAATAGTTGACGTAGGAGGGACACTGTTGCAATTGATGTGGCAGAATGCATAGGAAATATCTCTGGCCATTTGGAAAACGCGTCGACACATATTAAGAAATGCATACTATTGAACGGTCCAGCGAAGTCAACATGAACACGGGACCATGGTTTGTCCGGTCGTGGCCAGGAACATAGTTCTGTCTTGCGTGGACACTTTGATGCTTGAGCACATTTACTACACTTGCGAACGAGGTCTTCGATATGGTCATCGATGTTGGGCCAGTAAACATAACTGCGAGCGATCGCCTTCATTCTCCCAACACCAGGATGTGATATATGAAGCTGCCGAAGCACATGGTCACGAAGATTAGCTGGAACGACAACACGATCAGCAAACATTATGCATCCATTAACGATGGATAGGGATTTGCGTCGCTGGTAAAACTGTTTTAAAACATTTGAATGAACATGTGGAGGCCAGCCAAATCGGATGAACTTTGATACTTGCTGTAAAACTGGATCACGCAGTGTGTGTCTGGCAACCTCAACTGCAGTCACCGGAAGATCGTCCAGAGAGATAGACATTATAATTGGGTTGTAATTTACACAGTCAAAAATGTTATATAGTTGCGCTGAACAGAATAAAAACCGTCGTCGTTGCGTGCTATAACTGCAATGAATTAAAGTAAATCCCCGTTCGCCAATTTGTTATATCTTGCTCTGTCTGCGCCTGAACTTATATGTTATATAGCTGCGCTGAACAGAATAAAAACTGTGGGGTATTGAATGAAGACGTTTTCACCTTATTCTGTCTGCGCCTGAACTAATCTGTCTATCTCCTTGTCGTACCTTCCGACTTGGTAAAGCACGCAAATATCAAAAGACAAAGGCTGGACTGTGACTGTGTATTGAGGTGCAACAACGATAAAGAAAGCCATGGTATTTATACATTTTACAACAATATGGACAGCTAACAGCATTTGAAATAATTGACCTTAATAGCCAATAACAAAGTGTGTGAGAAATGATAATATGCCATATGTGCGACATTGACAGTAAGTAACAAAATGCGTGAGAATGATAATATACAAAATTAACAGTCACTACCAAAATGCGTGAGAATGATAATATACAAAATTAGCAGTCAATACCAAAATATGTGGGATCCTATCACCTCCCCCCATAAAGAGTGTAGGACTTGCTTTTTGGATCTATTTGAAAAGGTTTCGGAGCTCTTCTTTGTCGAGTTGACCTTTGCGTGGTACTGGATAGAGCGTGATCTGTGTGTCTGCCACATAACTGTCCTTTTTCATTCGTACGATAATGCAGCAAGAATTTATCCAAAATTTGTTTCTGTTGTTCCCTCCCCCTTCGCTTTTGCATAAGCACGCTTAAAGGTGTCGACGAAACGTTCAGTAATAGTTGACGTAGGAGGGACACTGTTGCAATTGATGTGGCAGAATGCATAGGAAATATCTCTGGCCATTTGGAAAACGCGTCGACACATATTAAGAAATGCATACTATTGAACGGTCCAGCGAAGTCAACATGAACACGGGACCATGGTTTGTCCGGTCGTGGCCAGGAACATAGTTCTGTCTTGCGTGGACACTTTGATGCTTGAGCACATTTACTACACTTGCGAACGAGGTCTTCGATATGGTCATCGATGTTGGGCCAGTAAACATAACTGCGAGCGATCGCCTTCATTCTCCCAACACCAGGATGTGATATATGAAGCTGCCGAAGCACATGGTCACGAAGATTAGCTGGAACGACAACACGATCAGCAAACATTATGCATCCATTAACGATGGATAGGGATTTGCGTCGCTGGTAAAACTGTTTTAAAACATTTGAATGAACATGTGGAGGCCAGCCAAATCGGATGAACTTTGATACTTGCTGTAAAACTGGATCACGCAGTGTGTGTCTGGCAACCTCAACTGCAGTCACCGGAAGATCGTCCAGAGAGATAGACATTATAATTGGGTTGTAATTTACACAGTCAAAAATGTTATATAGTTGCGCTGAACAGAATAAAAACCGTCGTCGTTGCGTGCTATAACTGCAATGAATTAAAGTAAATCCCCGTTCGCCAATTTGTTATATCTTGCTCTGTCTGCGCCTGAACTTATATGTTATATAGCTGCGCTGAACAGAATAAAAACTGTGGGGTATTGAATGAAGACGTTTTCACCTTATTCTGTCTGCGCCTGAACTAATCTGTCTATCTCCTTGTCGTACCTTCCGACTTGGTAAAGCACGCAAATATCAAAAGACAAAGGCTGGACTGTGACTGTGTATTGAGGTGCAACAACGATAAAGAAAGCCATGGTATTTATACATTTTACAACAATATGGACAGCTAACAGCATTTGAAATAATTGACCTTAATAGCCAATAACAAAGTGTGTGAGAAATGATAATATGCCATATGTGCGACATTGACAGTCAGTAACAAAATGCGTGAGAATGATAATATACAAAATTAGCAGTCACTACCAAAATGCGTGAGAATGATAATATACAAAATTAGCAGTCAATACCAAAATGCGTGAGAATGATAATATACAAAATTAGCAGTCAATACCAAATGTGTGAGAATGATAACATACCATCTATGCAAGTTTAAACAGTCAATACCAAAATATGTGGGATCCTATCAGTTTTAGATTTCATCAGGGTCTGACCAGTCTTTGTTATGTCATCATGCTTGCTAGCAGATGCAAGTGGTGCTTTGGCAATTCCGTCTTCCCTTGCTGTTCTGTGTGTAACCTCGGGAATCTTTAGTTTATGGGGATTGGTACTTGCAGTTGGTTGAGCTGGATTATTCTTTTTACTGTTTTTATTAAGTTTTGGCGGTGTGGTGTTATAAGGTGTGATTGTGTCAAGACAAAAAAGTGGTGTGTCGTTTCTGATTCTTGGAGCCACACTGTGTGAGACTGTGCCAAAGTGTCAAAGTGGGCAAATGTACCAGAACCTGGGACATGAGCCACTTCTGATAAACTCATAATAGGGTTTTGTCACTTCCTTGTCACAATGGCAGTGTAATCATCGTTTCCAAAGATTGCACTCCAATGCCGAGCCAGTAATAGGAACGACAACACTACAGGCCTGGCATTCGCCACTTTTCTAGAAGACGCTTTCGAGGCCTTGTGACGACATGGGCGTTTCTTCTTTGTTTTGCTCTGCGTCACACACGGGTTTCTAACGGATAAAAATATAGTTTCATGTCTACTTTGTTTCGCCTGTTCAGATGCAGTGTTGGACTGTGGCAATGTAGGCATAGTATCAGAGCAGGGGACATGTACATGGGTCGTTAGAATCGGTATGCGAGGTAGGGTTAATCTTCCTGTGTTACTGCTGCTTCTGCCTGAAGCCATTGTCACTACGGAATATGGTGTTTGAGTGCTCTTTTAGCCGGATTCCAGCAGCCATATTAAAAATTACTACAACTTACGCTTATTTATGAAGAAGTGATAGCAACCCTACTTTAATTGGACACTGGTAACTAGTACGGTGTGTCTAGACCTTTCTTTGGTGCAGAGTGAATCCTGTCAGCCAGGTTTGCGATGTGGCCGCCATTCTATGGATATGAGTTCCTTCAAGGTATCAGATAAACCTTGATGACGAGTGCCAACTAGCTCGAAACCTAGGTCCAAGGCTTCCTGTAGATCACAACCATCTAATCTCATCAGATAGCAACAGTATCTACCAAATAGAACGAGGACGAAGAGATAGATAAAGTATAACATAAGGAAAAGTGAAGGTTTACCCAGCTTATTTTGGTTACTGGACTTCAGAGCAATCACGTGGAAGACAAACAAGTCTTGTTTATCTGAACGAGTGAGGAAGATGCTGCTACAGATGTAGCACCTGAAGATTTGGCAGTATTTCGAGACACTTGATCTTGCCACACAGAGATTTAATAAGTAATTAGTGGTGGAATTTAGTTCATCGGCTAGGAAAATCAGGTCTCTCAATCGAATAGTTCACAAAATAGGTTTTTTCCGGTTAGACAGGAAAAAGCACATCGTATTCAGGGAGCGCGCGCAGTCAGGAGAGGAGCGAAAGTTTCACCAAAAACAAGAAGACAGGAGACCCGGAATATAAAAATTGCAACTTACAGTAAAAAAGCATCAAAACGCTGATAGAAAATTGGTCTTAAATTGACTGACTAAAGTAACTGATAGACTCCCAGAGTGTATAATATGATGAAAGCAGGAGCTAGAGAAAAGTGTGTGGAATTTTGAGGAATAGGGCACCGATATACTCTTACTGAACTTCTTCTTCTTACATGTGAACTATTACGCGATACTAGATGTGAAAAAACAGTTTCTATACGTCCTACGTAGAACTTAGTAATTTTTGTTTTAATGTTCTAATGGTGTACACTGTCAACTATTGTTTTTCGATGATCTTTCGAAAGATAGACTTCAGCTGTATTTTAAGTCTGTGCACCTTGGTTGCCCAATGGAACTAACTTATACTAAATAATTCAATGGGAATACATAATCTCGATACCAAAGACTTGTTGAAGCGGATAAAGGAATGGAATGCCACAAGACTGGATCTATTCAAAATATCTGAACCTAATAAAGTATGTATATGGACGTTTTGATCAACCATATCACTGAGTAGATTCTGATATTAGTTATTATTATAGTAGTTATTTAGAGGTTGATTTTATATACTAAATTCTTATTTTAAAATGTAGTTGGAAACAGTAATATTTTGACAGAATATACATAAGTGTGATTGTTTACCACTATGTTGCAGTTTTGAGTCATTTATCTGATGCCGTTTACTTTAAGTAACTGTTGGCTAAGAAGCAGCATGCTGTCAGCGTTTCAACTGAGATGTTTACATATGTTTTAAACTGTTTGAAGATTTATATTCTCAGCCAAAATATGGGACAATCTCATATGCATGACTTTCAGTGATTCAATATTTAGCAATTTAGTTGGTTTCTTATCAAAGTCATTGAGTAAAACCATTACATTGATGGTGATTAGGTCGTTTAGTTGGCTGAAATGGTTTTTCTGCTATTCACTTTCTTAGTCCTTTTCTTCAGGCACTAAGAGCATCAAGCTGTTTCTTATTATTTCAAGGCGGAATGACTGAAAACATCTTTACCTTCTATGACATGAGTGACAACTTCCAATCGAAATGATTGGGACATTTAATATTTTTTGTGGTGGTTCCTAATATAACCTACTTTATGAGTTATTTAGAACTTTTAGGAGAAGGAGACACAGAAATGCTTAGGCATAATGTTAGACGCTCAAAACTTTGTGAAAGAAACTGCGATTTCGGAGAGCTTCTAAAAATTTTCTACTGTGTTAAGTGTTTTGTAAAACCAGACGTGCTGACTGGAACACTATTTATAATTTCTCTGTTTTTCCATGCGAAAGGTAGAACGTTACTGAAAAAGGAAGCATTAAAAATGTTAATAAGAGGGTAACATTAAATATCAACACTGTTCCTGAGGACAATGGCAGGTACACCGTCAAGACCAAGGCTTTACGAAGGCTTAAGTGACCGGAGACATTTAAGCACATTAAGGGTAATAAAACCATTAAACTGGTTGTCTATATGATTTGTAACATTAGGAAGGATATCGACAGAAGAGTGTGTGCAAGACTTATTTAGAGTATCAACATTAGGAAATGGGACAGAAGTACATTGCTTACAGCTAGTAATTTCATTCAAACGTTTCCACAAACTAGAAGGGCTTTTACATGACAAAAACTTTTGATTATATAAAACATTTAGTCTTTGCGTTTCGAATTTTATCAGAGTATTTAACCTTTTTACACCTGACTTATCATTTGTTTTGAACAACAGTTCTTTATCTCCCCGTAGTTTTTTGAGATATGGCGAAGATAAGCGATCAAATCGAATGAATAATGTTTCTTTAGGACAACATATTTCTAAATAGAATTTAAGATAATCAGTAGTGTTTGTGACTGTGTCATCTAATGTTTGTTCTGTAAATAAGTCCCAGTTAGTGTCTTTTAACATACATCTGAGCTTGCGTAAGTTGTTTTGTGAGTAGTATCTCCGTTGAAATTTACCATAGAGGTGAGAGAGGACACCTCTGTGTGATTTGGAATATTTGATGTAGCTCAGAAAATGTTTGCGCATTTATACCCAACAACCTACTTTTTTTTATAAAATCACTCAAAAATTTCTCCGGACTATTTAAATAAGCAAGAAAAGACATTGACTGCTTAGCTTCCGAAGTGATGAGGCGTATAGTCTCATCTCGTCAGCCTATCAATCAGAGGTATACGATTTTACACATTTATGGTTAACGTCTAGCCTGTGAAGAGTCTCAAGTTTACATAGTACTCCATTATTCTAGGATAGCCTTAAAAAGTGTGTATATGATTTGTTGTCGAAAGTGTACAAAGCTCTATCTTTGCCTTTAATTTGTAGAGATATTTTCCAGTTGATAAAATTTCACCTCGAGATCGATCAGTTCTCCTAAGTATACTAATCAGCGGAATGCTAGTTCAGCATGAGACACAAATATCTACATACATGATAAATTCATGCAAGATGACTTACTAAGTCGATGTTGAAAACTGTTCTTCCTAGTGACCATATTTGATACAGGTCTGTGTAGAACTTGAATTGCAGGTATGAAGAAAATAAAAGACAGATTCAGCGAAGAAAATTTTCTTTATTGACGAAATCATCTTCATGGGCTGGCTGTACAGTCGTATTTATACTTACAAAAATATATAGTGGTCTATTATTGAGTAACAGGGGGTAACATAATTGATATAATTACTCAGAAGTAGCTTTAGAAGTGAAAATTAAAAGTCGTAAATTACGTGGTACAACGGAACAAAGTTAGAAATTTGAAATGGTTAAGATTGCTATTGAGTGAGAATAAAGGTGGTAGTTGAGTGTCAATTTAACAAGTGTGAGGAGGGTGTGAAATATACAGAAGAAGCATATGAGAGTGATAATAGTGAATTAATCACTAAAACAAAAGCAAACTAAAAGTAAAATTTAAAAAGAAAAGAAAAATCAAAAATTTTTTTTACAGGGAACGATTAGTGAAGAGGTTAAGACCAAGGTAGAATACGAGACTGGACAAACTTTTTCTGTATACAGAATTCAGGGTTGTATTGACGAATTGCCAGCGCTTCCAACATACACAAAAGCCGAAACCTGACGCCCTTTGTACCATTTGGTTTCACTTTATAGATGATCTTGAAAGATAATCCTGGTGGAGCTATGTGGCCTTAGTTCACCAAATGCTCGAGAATTGAGCTAGTAATTGTCTTGCATTGTCCTTTTGCTAACCATTCTGGATAATATTCAGAGATGCGTTTGGAAAGCGTGCGCTTTGTGCATCCAATATAAATAGCTCCACACGAGCAGGTGAATTTATAAACACACATTGAGGTGGCCCAAACTGGCAGTTTATTCTTCACACATCCGTTGAACATTTGTCGGCTGTAGAAACTGATACGTAGCTCAGCCATAAAGAAGGCTTTCTTCAGTGACCTGCATAAGCGATTCTTCAGGATCTCAGCTGCGGTATCACCTTTAAATTCAACACTCATAAATAGCAGTTTCTTCGGCACCGTCGCTTAGCTTCATGATTTCTCGATAAATCTTGGAGGATATCCATTCTCTATGAGGACTTGTCTGAGTCGCCCCAGTTCCCCAATCGATTGTATCACTTGGACAATTCTTCCTTATTCTTGAGGATAAGGAATGCATCAGATTTCTCTTTCTTCTCAAAGAGACCCAGCTATAGAAATTCTTATACTGACCATTCCATATTGGTTTCCTGTAGATCGACCTTTGAAGAGAACTATCAGATCTCCATTTTAGAAATACATCCAAAAAATGGAATTCCGAGTGAATCTCTGATTCCGACGTGAACTTGACGGCAAGATGGCAGCTTTTGAACTCTTTAGTTATCAATTCGATGTCGGTATTGTCGTCACATATGATGAAAGTATCATCCATGTATCTTTGATACAAATGGAAACTATCGATTATTAGTATTATTATTATTGTTCTCTTGGGTTCTTAGTGGAATATAGCGCTTCAACTGCACGTCTCCACTTGCCACTTCTGCCTTATGCTGTACTTTTCACCTGCATCAATGTTAGTCCATACTGTTTCAACTCCTCTTTACACGATCTCCTCCATGTCACCCTTACACCGACGAACCACTCGTTGCTTCCTTTCGGCCTGGTTCCACTCGAGGAATGGCCTGACGCGCGCGCGATGTCACCCGGTGGCCTTCTCAGCGAGTGAGTGTCCAATCCATCTCCACTTTCTCCTTCATATTTGTTGTTCTTGTTCCCATAGTTTCTTGTTGGTGATTCTTTCCGGCCCAGCCATCTGATCTTCAGTATACAGCCAGCGAAGACAGTTGTTGTTGATGAAGGTCTGAGTTAGCCTGTTGGAAATATTCTTTGTGACCCGCCCGCCCGCCAAGTTTCCGATCCGTATAGAAGAACTGACTTGCAGTTTGTATTGAAAATCCGACCGAGTTTTGTTGATGCTGGCTGAGTGACGAAGATTTCCAGATTGATTTCAGGTTGATGAATGTATTTCTCGCCCTCCAGATTCTCGCTCGATTTGACATCCTCGTCCGTTCCGACTGCGTGTAGTTGAGACAATGCTCCCTAGATCAGTGAGTGAATGAAGTGACCTCTTTCAAATCCCTCCCGTTGATGGTGATTGACGTTGGATGTTTCTGCTGTTGTTGTGGTTGGTTGGTTATTTTCATAACTTCCGTCTTGTCTATGTTCACATGGAGTCCTGTCTTCGCCGGCTGCTTCTTCGACCAGTTTGTCGGTTTTCGCTTGTAAGTCTTCGATTGTGTGTGACATCAAACATAAATCATCCACCCGCGAAATCCAGGTCTTCTAGGTTCTTCACGTCGGTCGTCCAGGATATCCCTGTCTTCTCGTTTCCCACTCACTGTCTGACGCATAATCCAGTCAGTCACCACAATTAGGAATATCATTGGTGATAATAGAGCACCCTTGTCTGACTCCTGTGTTTACTCCAAACGCCTCGCTGAGTTTTCCGTTGTGGATCACTTGACATGTGCCGTTGTCGTACAGCTGTTGAATAAGGTTGATGAATATTTGGGGTACGCCATAGTACTCGAGTAATTTCCAAATTACTTCACGGTCAACGCTGTCTGTCGAAGGCCTTCTCAAAGTCTATAAAGTTGAGGTAGAGGTTTGATTGCCATTCCATGCTTTGTTCGATGATGATGCGTAGAGTTGCAATTTGGTCAGTACATGATTTGCCTTTCCTGAATCCAGCTTGTTCTGGTCGGAGTTCTGTCTCCAGTGCGTCCTTTAATCTCTCCAGGATGATGCGACTCAGGATTTTACTTGGCGTCGACAGGAGCATGATTCCTCGCCAGTTCTTGCAGAGTGAGGCCTAAGTCGCCCTTCTTTGGTAGTTTCACGAGGTAACCTTTCCTCCAGTCAGTAGGCACCTTTCCCTCCTTCCAGACCTTTTGCAATAATGGAGTCAGCATGTCTGCTGTCGTCTCTGGGTCCGCTTTCAGTGCTTCAGGGGGTATTCCATCTGGTCCGGCTGCTT